GGAAATATTCATTTATAGAATAAAAAGGATGATACAAAAACCTCTTCAATATCGATTTGAAACATTTCTCATCATTGACCAAATTTTTTATTGACTGAGGAAGATGACTGAAAACTTTAATTCCTGAAATATATGCTCCTTTGTGAAATTTTGTTATATTCATTATAGGTACATGTAAATTACTGTGTAATCTAGTGATATATTTATGAATCTCATTAAAGTTAAATAAATATTTATTATTAACTGTATATAATAGTAAGGAATACATATACCGGGAATATAATGTCATTATTTCCCATTTCATAAAAATGTCCCTTCATGAATCTCTTGGTTTAGCATTCGTTATATTTCTAACGATACTCTTTTGCAAAATAAACATCATCTTAGCATAAGAGGAGCCACACCAGATGATTATTCCGAAACTCATAATAGAGTGTATATGAGCAAAATAAATTAGCCTTAAAATTTCAAATGATGCTATGTATTTTATATTTCTAAGTGCAAAACATGCAGAGGAAATTTTACTGGTGACCATATCTACGAGGAGCGTTCCATATATAATGCCTCCTATTTTTTTATGAAAACTACAACAGATACATAAAGCATAATAACATAGTTAAATAGAGCAAGATTTCAGCTACTTACAGTTATTTTTCCACATAATCACCACCATTCATTATGCACTTTTGCCAGCGATGAACAAGAGCCTGTATGCTGCGCTCGTAAAAGTCTGAGCCAGCAGAGGCAAACCAGTTTCTTACAGCTGCAATGACAGCATCGTTGATGGAAAATGTTGCCCACGTAGCCCATCTTTCATAGGCCCAAAGAGATGGAAGTCTGAAGGTGCTAAATTGGGGCTATAAAGTGGATGTCAGAGGACAGTCCAGCCAAACTTTGCAATGTGTGCGGTGGTCGCCAAACTGGTATAGGGTCTAGCATTATCATGTTGCAAGCGAAAGGTTGTCTGCTTCTCTGTCCTGACTCAGGGAAATGCTTAGTCAGCATCATGTTGTAGCATTCAGAATTTACAGTCTCACCAGACTCCAGGAAATCCAACAAAATCACACCCCGCCTATCCCAAAAGACCGTGCACATCACTTTACCTGCCAATGGCTGTGTCTTGAACTTCTTTTTTCTTGGGGAATCTGGATGTCGCCACTCCATGGACTCTCTTTTGGATTCCAGCTCATAGTGGTGACACCACATCTCATCTCCGGTGATGATGCTGTCCAGAAACTTGTCTCCTTCAGCCTCAAACTAGTGCAACAGGTCCCGATAGACTTCCATTCAATGAGTTTTGTGGTCCTGTGTAAGCATCCACGGGACCCACCTGGAACAAACTTTACAATCATCCAGCTTCCCCAGCATCGTTTCAAATGCATTACAGCCGATATTAAGCCATGCACACAGTTCCCTGGTCATTATCCGCCAATCTGTACAGATGAGCTGATCGAGGCGCTGTTCATTGTGAGGAGTGGCAGCTGAACACGGATGCCCAGGGCATGGCTTGTTGTGCACTTCAGTTTCGCCCTGTTGAAATGCACCACCCACCACCTCACTGTGCTGACATCCACTGTATCATCTCCATACACCTTTAACAAGCGTCGATGAATGTCAATGGGTGTAATTTGTTTGGCAGTGAGAAATCCAATAACACATCTTTGTTTCGTATGCACTTCTATGTCAGACGCCATTTTGGTAGAGTTCTCTGCTGTCGCTATATGTTGCACGACAACCAAACTAACGGTACATTGGCAGGAAGGTTCAACCTTTACTATAACACCACCAACATCCAGCTCAGACATTACAGATTAACACAAAAAAATAGGAGGCATTATATATGGAGCGCCCTTCATATAGGCTACTTCCAAGACAGCATATTATCAATAATCAAACCAAGGAATTTTGTTTCTGATACACTGGGGATAAATGTCTGATCATAATTAATATGGGTAACAATGTTACGATGTTTTATAGATCAAAAAGCCAAATAGTTTTACTGAAATTCAAGGTAAGCAAATTGGCATTAAACCAAGCATTTATATCTCTGAAGGTATGATTAAAATTTGTTTCAAAACTTGAATTATTTGAATCAGCAACTATAATACTAATGTCATCAGCATACAATACCATATTATTATCTTTATTTATTATTGTGGGTAAATCATTAATATAAAATAGGATCAGCAGAGGTTCAAGAATCGAACCCTGCAGAACTTCATGTTTGACTATTTCCCACTTGGATATTTTATTACTGGTCTGAAAGCTGTGAACTGAAGAACAAGAGCACTGTCTTTGCTCCTTCATTGGTCCCATGACTGATTTGTTGGAACAAGGTCTTTGCTACCATTTGTACCAAAAATGCAAACATGTCACTGTTGTGGTGTCAGAATTACTGGATTTAAATTACAACAAATTAAAATCCAGTGTAAAAAAAATTTGTGTTAGTAATTTATGGCTGTATGGCCATCAAGTGACATATTACCCGCAATATCAAGTAGATTCAGTGTGCAGGTAAGAAATTTGAGCACTTTTATAGTACGATTTTGTGGCTATAATTAAAACTGATGGTAGCACAGTTCCTACATATTATATGTATATTGTATATGTATATATATTGTCTAAAACTGCATGTTAAATTTCAACACAGTTCCCTGTGGCTCCAACTGCAACCACAAGTCACGTTTAAAGCAATACTTGTATGATTATCAATAATGCTGCCAGTATTGGGAGGATTAAACTTTACCAATCAGGATGGTGTAAAGATAACATGAGATGTCTAGTTCAAATTCTGGCTGGTTACTAGTGATCTTGTGTGACTTCTTCACATCATCATCATAATCTCTTGAGGTAGGTATTAAAACAGTGCCTTCATATAGGCCATAACAACCTTTTCTAAATCCTTATCATCTCACCATCTTATTCAATGTTATATAATCTCTGCAATTGAAAAATTAACTATGTCCTAGAGCAGAGTCCTTATTGAGAAGTTAATAGTTGCTGTACGTGTCAAGGTCCATTCTACAGATCCAAGAGATTCCCCATCATGTTTAGAACAGCCAGCCACTAGTACTTACCATGAAAAGGATGAGTTTAGTTGCCATCCTCATATCCTGTTTCTTTAAGATCCTAATAATATCCTCCCATGTACACCTGCATCTTCTGACTGGTTTCTTACCTTCAGGTTTCCTGACTGAAATGGTGTATGCATTTCTCATTTCTCACTTCTTACTTACCCTCCTTAATTTTATCATTGGTAACATTTGATTAGGAGTCAAAATTATGAAACTCATTATGCAGGTTCCTTTGGGCTCCTGCTACTTCCTCTCTATTAGGTCCAAATATTCCCACCTCCATGTTCACAAAGACCCTTAACTGAAAAAATATGCAGGGCTATAGATGAGCTAGGGTAGCCCAAAGCACTGCCTGGTCCTTTCCTGGGTGCTGGGCACAGCTCTGGTATTTCCTCAGTCATGTCACGTTTGTGATGCAGCCCAGGGGCAAGAAAAGTGTAACCCCCTTTCCCCTGAAATATAAGGTATAGAATATGCCTGTGCAGAAAGTTAGGAAAATTAAGCTGTATATAAGTCACACATAATATGAAACTGTTTCCTCTAGTATTAGGCTTTATAGCCATATTTATAAGCACCAGTCACTGGAACCTATCTTAAGCCAGTTCAATGCAGACGGCACCCTCATGCCCTATTTCTTTAAGATCATCATTATTATCCTCATTATTATTTACAAGAGTTGAGTTTGTTAGCCTGGAGGTTGCATATATCCAGGTCACCACACTGTTGTCGAACTGTCTCTTATGAGCTTATGGGAAGTCCAGCTTAATGATACCCCAACTTTATAATACCCCCACCCCAAATTTTCACCACACTTGCCTAATCGTACCGTGCTCGTACCTGCATGCCAGGTTCTACCAAAAATGTATTTATATGTCACCCTCTTCACCCATCAGGCAACCTGTTTGCCTCTCCTATCATCTTTGATTTGATTACTTCAATAATATCTCGTAAAGGGAAAACTAAATTATAATATTTGGGCCGAAATATATATGGTAATAATATAAACGTGTTATAACTTAAAGTCATCCTCATTTGATTTGTAATTTTGTGAACGATCGAAAAACGAGGAACTTACCAACTTCACGATTTTTAAGCGATACATTTTATGAATCATAGCTGCCAATGTCTTTGCATTTCATAAAGCGACATATGGAAATTGGGTATACTTACAGTCCCCTGCTTATATATATATATATATACTATGATATTGTTTGTAATTAAAAATTATAATATGTACCAAGCAAACGATAACATACATCAAATAAGTACCAGATGGCACAATAGGCTACATGTTTCTTCTGTGAGATTATCTTCCATTCAGAAGGGTGTGCATTTTACATCTATTAGAATATTTAACAACCTGCCACAAAACATATATATCTTGAAAGACAATATTAATATTTTTAAACAAAGACTAAAGGATTTTCTGGCTTCAAAAGCATTTTACTCGGTAGGTGAATATATGGCAAGTAGGTAATTTTATGCACTGTTACAGTCTGTTTTCTAAGACTATGTTCTAGCAAAGAATTGTAAGATGACTGATTTTTATACTGTTGTACCTATCAATGTTATAATTGTTGAATATTTTACTGTCTAGACCAGGTTGCACATTGCAATGTCAGTTTGGCTGTGACGAGTTCAATATCCAGTCCGGTTTCCGGACAAAGGATCTGTGAAACCATGTAGCTATGTATGTATGTATGTATGTATGGACTTTTAAATTGCAGGGAACCTTCTGCGGCCGGTATATAAATCGCCCTAATTAATTAACATTGCAAACTTTCAGAAAAAAATACATATTTTCCGTTCTATGCAACATAGAAATAAAAACTAAATACACTCTGAAAGACAATAACATTTTCTACATATACTCAAAAGAGCAATTTTTATAAACGAAAATTAACTGTGATTATTTTGCATCAGCGTCATGCGTATGAGAGGAATCCGCGATATCACGTACTGCTGGGTGGTCCAGTGAAAATTACTGTACCGTTGCTGTCAAAATCGTCAAAATGGTCAAAAACGAACACAACGAAAGCAGTAACCAGTCTGGTCACATGCGTCACATCTGTCGGTAGCGGTTGGTAGTCGTACCGATCGTACATAACCCAAGAAAAATGGGTAGTGCGGTTGAAATACAGAGCGTGAATATGAAACTCTCAGATTCAAAACACGACGGTGTTGAGGATTTTGGAGAAAATTTAAAGGTCCTGCCAACAAGCGATCAAATAAAGGAACTGCAAACAATTCTTCGTGACAGGTAGGAAAGTTGGAGACAAGTGTGTGTCTCGAAAGGATTTTCTTCCCATGAACAACGTGGTGTATCAAGTTCAATTTCTGTTTCAGGAATACAACAAGAAGTGACTTTAAGTTCTATGCTGACAGACTGGTAAGTGGACACTGGCTGGATGTAGTTCATATGTAGAGCGGATAGATGACAACAGGACTAAATGCCTAGTGAAGAATTGGTTGGAGAAATTATCTCTTTTGATGTACTGCGGGTAAAAATAAATAGTGCTGCTGTAAGCTAATGGTATGCTACAGGGATATTTAAATATTACATATTTTTGTTGTTTATTTATTAATTTCCTTTTGAATTGTATTGGTTGTACTTCTGAACATGATTTCTGATATTTGGAACCCATTATACAGGGTGTAAATAAATGTACGTTACAATGCTCTGTGGTAGATAGATGGGTTCAGTCTGATCATATTTTGTTAATACACGCATGTCCGAAAAACGCTTCCTTTTGGCACTAAGGGTCACAAAATTTTCGGAGAGTATGTTTTCCTTATAAAAGTTGCTCAAATGGTGGCTAACGACTTCAGTGCATGTTCTGCACTGGCTGGCTATGTTATGTTAAACTCTTTGAAAGATTCCCGGCATTTCCTGGTTGGTTTCAGCTACTACTGCAATTCTTGCTACAAGATCATGTTGTGTCCCCACAGGAGTCTTGTACACCAGGCTTTGCATGTACCCGCAGAGAATGAAATCCAATTGAGTCAAGTCAGGGGAGTGAGGGGGCCATGTTATTGGGCCTCCACAACCAATCCATCTGTTGCCAAAGGTTTCATCCAAATACTCATGGACAACATCAGTGCAGTGTGCTAGGGCGCCATCATTCTGGAACCACATTTCACGATGGACTTCGAAAGGCACCACTTTCAGCAGTTTGGGTAAAGTCTCTTGGAGAAATATTAGGTGTCACCTGTAAGCCACAGAGGTAAGAGGTGAGGGCATCCTTCACATTTCAGAGGCCCTAGCACATAAACAAAGCGTTTCCGGACATGAGTGTAAGAACAAAATATGATCAGATTGATTCCATCTGTCTACCACAGAGCGTTGTAACATATATCTATTTACACCTTGTATACCATATGATTACTAGTGAAATGTCTGAAGATATACATTCTAATGTATAAAATTGTAATAAACAAGTCAGCTGTTAGTATGGGAGTAAAGGTACAATGGAAGGATGAAAACAATTACTTCTTTCTTTCATGTTAAGAATTAGAAGTGCTTGGGTTGTATGGAGTATGATTGTAGACTCATGTGGAATATAAGATACGAAATCTGAATATTAAAATAGCAATCAGGATTAGAGCCTTCACTTTTACAAACTTTGAACTAAAGAGATCAAAGAAGAGGTATGAGGGGGAATATCTGGTATTTGTATGATATTTTTGTAATATTTGTGTATGAAAAATATAGAAGCATGTTAGTTGATGTTAAGCATGATAATGATAATACAAATTATTTGAAATCATTGGATGTGGACAGTTTTACAAGAACACAGAAGGGAACATTGTTAGAACTAAACTGATTGAAACTGATACTAGAAGACTAGAAGTGGCAATGATTGTGAAGAAATACAAGGGTGATCAGAAGTCCCAGAATTACTGAGATGTTGTAGAAATTATTTTGAGTGTCCTGATGAAGTTTCTGCAGTTACAATTTAGAAAATATTACAGCTTTTAAATATGTACAATATAATGCAGGTAGGGTTACAATTAAAATGGAGTCTGCTAATTATTTTTGTATTATAAGTTGATAAAAGAAAGGATTGTTACAAACATACTTTTGCATTGTCAGGAAATTCAGATTTCTTGCGTAGTGTATGTAGATACAGGTGCAAATTATTCAGCTTCATTCAAAGTCCCATATAAACCAAATGTTAGAGAATGAGTAAGTTATTAACGCCACGAGCAGAGTCTATGACATGCTGGTAGTTGTTCATTTAGTGAAATCTCCACTTGTTATGAAATTTGAAGGTTCATTCACAAGATTCTCCCATTTGTTCCTGTCATGAGCCAGATGAATCCAGTCCACATTATCAAACCATATTTTATTAAGATCTTTTGCAATATTATCCTTCAGTTTATGCCTAGGTCTCCCAATTGTTCTCCCTTCAGGTTATAGAATGATTATTTTTTGACTAATTCCATTTTCTGGGATATAACACTATGTATCCCATTGAAAGTAACTGATGTTTCAGAGGAACATATTGCCTCCATCTTCAGGGTTGAAGAGTAAGCCAAAAAGGAAACCATCTTGAAGCTGGCAACAAGCAAAACTTTCTTTGCTAGGTTTATTCTTCAAGCCTGAAGATTCAGGCAGCATGTTCCTCCGAAATATTGGTTAATTTTTTATGGACTACAAGGCATTATACCCCAAAAGAAAAAACTCTTAATAACCACTGTTCTGAGAACCTCAAATCCTATGATTACCTTTGGTTTTGTGTTCTGTTGTCCGAGTGAAGTAAGGCTGTTTGAGAGCAGTCTAATGGAAGCTTTCTCATAAAACATGGAAATTATTGTAAATTTAAAAAAAAATATAGTGATACTAAATTCTTTACTTTGTTAATGTGGATAGCATTTTATGCCTGGCACCGAACTAAAAAGTGCATTCACATATTGAATTTGGGAGGGGGGAGTAGAATAATCTTCAAACACTGATATTTTGGAGCCCACTGCTGTTTGTATACAGTATCTTCAGTGAGCACTCAGCATTTCAATTTGAGACTTCTTTTATTTATTTATTTTATCACTTCAGCAGAGGGAAGAATAGATACAGAAAATGTTAGTAAATGGAGTTATGAGAATATGTGAACCTTATGATAAGACTTAACCAAGAAATCAATAGAGAATAATGTATAATGAGTTGTTTCTTGGCTTAATTTGAGTCATTATTTTCTTCAGAGTGTACATCTTGTCAGTTAACTAGATAATTAATTATGAATGACGAATTGGAAATGATTTAAATGGAAGATGCTTGGTCTTATTTGAAGATAATATTCCATGATTTTCCTGAGCAGTGAGAAATTTAGTCATTTTTATTCCTTATGTAGTTTTTATAAGGGAGATTTTATCAAAAAGGTTGAAGTATCCCCTTTTGAGGGGAATGTAAATTGAATGCAGAATTTTGGTTGCAAAACATGGAATGAGGCTAATAGACAGATTGAGACATAATTAGGAATATTATATTCACAAAAGATTTTGAACCATACTGAACTGATTCAGAATATGAATCTTTGTGATACAATTGATGGTTTGGGTCCCAACCAAGAGAGAAATTATTCAGTAGCTGACTTCTCAAAGTTGATTCTTAGGCATGGTTTACATCTGACTTAGGAGTGCAACAGGATGCTGAAATGTAACATTGTGGGTACACAACCATATCAGAAGTGTAGTGCTTGTGACAGTTGTAACCCTGGACTTAATGTAACTTTTATCAGTTGTCTAGGAAAGTTTTTAAGGGAAGTTGTATATCAGTCACCAGATATGACTGACTTAATTCCATGAAAAGCTTATATCCACAATTTCAACTTTTTCTGTTCAGTAACATTAAATTATGTAGTTCATAGCATGTAGTAGTGTAGTTGGTTGAGGCACTGATGAGGTGATTGTTTTCAATTTACCTAATCATTCCAGCTGTACTGTGGCCCTGGCGTTAACTCAGCCTCTAACAGAAATGAGTACCAGAAATCTTTCTGGGGGTAAAGGGCGGCCAGCACATAAGACTGACAACCTCACCGCCATCTGTGAGCTGATTGTCTAAAGAAAATTTGGGAGCCTTGATGTCTCACAACTCTGTGGGCCTTCACAGCCTGTTACAGGGGTTTAAATAAAAATAAATAAATAAACAAAAATTTATAGCAGATATTTAATTTTCAGATTCGCTTGGTAATAGAAGAAAGCTTAAACCAGCTACCATTTTCAAAATGTGTTGTTACAACACCTACAGGTGCCAGTTACCAGGGCCTAAAATACCAGAAGGGCAACTGTGGAGTAAGCATAGTAAGGAGTGGGGAAGCAATGGAACAGGTAATATAGGTCTGATGATGTCAGCATGTACGTAACTTGAACTTTAATATTTCATTTCATTTAATTTATTCACCTTCCATAAATCCTGTCAAGAGTACATTCTCATGCGGATGTGGAGATTGTCCTTGTTACAGTCACAACTAAGGATTACAGTTGTTATCCAATAGTATGCATATTTGTATAAAATACTGATAAACATGTACAATATAATAAATAAGTTAATATTAGTAGTAAAAGTAATGGCAAACCTTATACAATTTGTACAGTTTTATTGAAGTCTATTAATTAAAAATTCAATAGTTAAAACATAATGTCATTAATGAATTTTGTTTAACATACGTTAATTATATAATAAATTGAAATAAAGACTAGTATACAGTAATATAAAAATTGTGTATTTCTAAAATATGCATCTAAAAACCAGAACACAGACTGACAACCTTGTCTTCTTTTAATTGTAAAGCAAGACAACTACTCGCACCTTAAAAAGATTTATAACCAAAATATTACTGTAAAGTATAAAAAGAATATAAATATAAAAACTGTTTTCATTGGACCTCAAAACTCTTAGTGTCACTTGATATATCCTTAATATATTGTGGCAGATTGTTCCTAAACAGTAAACTCCCTTTTGGTATTTACTCAAATTTACAAGAGTCTGATGGAGATTATTTTGCTGTCTGGTATTTATTTTATGACTCTCTGAATTTACTACGAATTTGTTTATGTTTTTTATCACAAAGAGCATAAGAGATAGTATGTACTGAGATGCCAGAGGTAAGATTTCTGATTCTCTAAATAAGTTCCTGCATGAATCCCTCCTGCGTCCCAACATAATTCTAATTATATTCTTTTGCATTCTAAAAATTTTTATACTTTGGGGCGAGTTACCCCAAAAGGGTAAACCATAATTTATAATAGAATTAAAATAAGAGTGATAAACCATTTTTAAGGTATTTATGGATGTGTATGGTTTAAGCGATCTTATTATGTAGCAGACTGCACTTAGTTTAGAACTAATATACTCACTGTGGTATTTGCAGCTCATTGTGTCATCAATGAATATGCCAAGAAATTTAATATTCGATATAGATGTAATTTGTTTTTATTGTATACAATTTTTATTTCAGATTTAGGATTTTTATTTCTAGCTGTAAATTGAATGTAGTGGGTTTTGTTAAATTTATAGAAAGTTTGTTTATTTTGAACCATTCATTTATACTATGAAAAGCATTGTTTATATTTACACAGAGATAATCATAGTTTGAACTTTTAACTAACAAACTAGTGTCATCTGCAAATAATATAGGTACAGTTTTGGGTAAATCGTTTATATAAATGAGAAATAACAATGGACCCACAATCGAACCTTGCGGGACATCATGTCTAATTTTGCCCCATGTCGAAAATTCGTTGAGATTAAGATTTATATTTGTAATTAAAACCCTTTGATATCTATTTCTGAAATAAGATTCAAGCCCATAGAACTCCAATTTCGACAAGAGAACCTCATGATTAACACAATCGAAGGCCTTTTCTAGGTCACAAAAAATGCCTCCTATTAAGTTTTTGCTGATTAAGGTCTTACAGATTTCATTCACTAACTTGTATATAGCCTCATCTGGTGAAGATTTTGTTCTAAAACCAAATTGTTCATACACTAAAATGTTATTGTTATTTAAGTGCTCAATCAATTGAATGATCATAGCTTTTTCTAGTACCTTAGAGAACGAAGTTAAAAGTGATATAGGCCTGTAGTTGGAAATATTTGTTTTTTCACCCTTTTTAAACAGCGGTCGTATTTTTGAGTATTTTAAACGATCTGGGAAAATTCCTTGTGTTATTGAATTGTTGCATATGCGAGTCAAAGGAGAGCTAATGAAAATACTTTAGTGGATATTTCATCATATCCATAAGAGTTTTTTCTTTGAGAGATTTAATTATATTTTCAACTTCCTTAGCTGATAAAGATTTAAGTTTAATATGTGGAAAGGGATTTATAAAAGTTTTCATTAAATACAAATATTATTACTATTATTATTTTGTTTATTTTTTGCATTTTATTTTCATCTACAGATAAAAAGTAATTGTTAAAGGTTTCCACAATTACTTGCGTTTCTCTAATCCATTTTCCATCCACCTTTAATGTGCATATTTTTTTCATTATTTGGCCCCTTATTAGTTTCCAATTTTACTATATCCCATATGGTTTTATTTTTATTTTTGAAATTTTGAATTTTGTTATCATATTTTAGTTTTTTAGCTTCCTTAATGACCTTAGATAAAATTTTACAGTATTTTTTATAATAGTTTTTAATTCTGAATTATTGCTGTTTCTACATGCCATATAGAGTACTTTTTTACATTTACAGGATGTTTTTATTCCTATAGTAATCCAATCACTTATTTCATTTGAAATTTTATTTTTTTTTTGGAAAACTGAATAGTAAATTTTCAAGTAAGTGTCTAAAAAGGAGTTAAGTCCCATGATTCATAACATAGTTTAATTAAAAAATCATTTATTGTGTGTTTGTTTATTTTCCTTATTATTTTAAATTGTTTGGCATGTGTTCTCACGTTTATTGCTTTAAATGTTATGGACTGTGCATCATGATCAGACAATCCATTTATTATAGGCCTTACAGAATAATTTTCCCTTCTAGTAATATCGATGAAAATATAATCAATGGCTGTAGCAGAATTTCCTTGAACTCTGGTGGGAAAATTTATCGTACTTGTTAAGTTATAAGTTTTCAGCAAGGTATCTAACTTGTTTTTCTTTTCACTATCAAGAAGGTAATTTATATTAATATCCCCACAAATAATATATTCTTGTGTTTAGGTATATAGGTTTCTAAGTACTGTATCTAATTTTGTTATAGAAAAGCAACTGTTGTAGGCTCTTAAGTGAATGATGTATTATTTCCTTCTGTGCTGAGTGTACGTGTTTCATTCCTAATCCTTTAGGCATTTGTGCAGAAGGATTTCAAGAATGATGTATTTAATGATGTGACTTTTTCAAGTGTTACTGTTGCAGCAATTATGAATGCCAAATAAAGTGAATGAATTTTTAGAACTCCAAGACAATGCTATATACAGCTTGGCATTATCTTTAACCTTCGATCTCCTTATACATAAATTAGCTGTTTGACCCCAGATTTTGCTGTCAGGCCCTTTTATGACTTGGTATATATGCATTAATTTTTCTCTTGTTGTGGATTTTTTATTCAATCTTCTTAAAGGCACAGATGCCCTCTAATCCCCTAACCCTACACATGTAAATAGGCACAATGATAGATTCTTTCCACTGCTGTGGCAGTTCTTATTTTTAAATGCCTTCAAAATAATGTCATTATTTCTGTTACATTTTACGTCAGTTGCTTGTTGAATACAAGATGAATAAAGGTTGAAATTGGAGGACTAAAATGCTGAAGACAGTGATGATAAAAATCTCATAAATAGAAAAACTGATCAAACTGTTCCCAGAGTGATAAAAAGCAAAGGGTAGAGGTGGAAGATAAAAGTTTTTTATATGTTTTCAAAACAGTTTCATTCTCAAGGTCTGTACTTCTGCCACAATCATATTCTGTGTACTCACTTCAGCAAAGCCAAAACAGGATCAATTTAATTAGTTCTTGAGTTTAGAAAATAGGATAAATCAAATAGTCAGTTGTCAGAGGGGTTTCAAACTGGGTATATCCGACACGTAAGTCAGACTTGTTACTGCAGTGCTTGGAGGCTGGGCTGTGTTTTATGGAAAATTTGTAGGTGTGAAGTATGTGTCAATTTTCATTTTGTACTAGATTGTTTTCGTTTTTGAATATGCTAATTACAGTAAACTCCCTGTTATTCAGTATCTAATCATCAGGAATTCTCATGCAGCTGGCAGGATTTTCAGAGAAAATTTACCATTTTCACTAAGAAACTTGAAAAAGAAGTTGTGATAGGCATATGTTCCCCTTCCACATTGTAGCTCTTTTAGCTGTCAGCAGCAGCGCTGCATGCAGTGGACGCTAGTCGAATTTGTATATCTGAAACACATCACGCATTGATCCAAAGTTCACTTTGTTTTGTTTTGTTTTTTCACTGTTTAGTATATATTATGCAGGCTTATGTATTAAATTGTTCTGAATTGTATTTCTGTTAAGTTTTCCTCATGCAGATGGCAGATTAATTTAACCAACACACTTCGTTCTCCCTATTCTGGATAACTGAGAGTTTACTGTACTTTCAGTATAAATCTTACAATATGAAATTAACTTTATGTTTTATACAGGTACATGTGACTTCTCTATACAGATTATGTTATTTTGTAAAGATTTTTTCAGTTTTAATAAAGTTAAATGACATGTGAGTCAGCTAGGATAACTCAATTGGTATAGCCATACTTTCATTCCACTGTATATCTTCATGGCGCTGTGCGTCATTAATCGAGCATAGGTACAACTTTACATTTTCATAAAATATGTGTAAATCAGTTAAATTCACAAAGAAATTAAGAGCAGATTAAATGTGGGGAGTATGTAAAGGTAAAAGTGTGGAGTGAATGTTAACTATTTTGTTCAGAATCTTCTGTCTTCCATCTCCTGTCTAGTAATTTAAAGATTAAAACTATAATTTTATGTGTTGTTTTCTGTGGATGTAAAACACATTCTCACATCCTGAAGGAAGAGCAGAGATGAGGGGTTTTCAATACAAGGTGCTGATGAGAAAACTTAGACTAGAAAGAGGCAGTGGCAGCTGCATGAAATTGCATATGAAGATCTTCGTGATTTATACTTTTCACCGCATATTATTGGGATGATTAAATGAGGGAGGCTGTGATGAATGGAGCATGTAGCATGCCTGGAAGAGATGAATGCATACAAAATTGTAGTTGGCAGATCTGAAGGGATGATCTAGTCATAGATTGGAGGATATCAAGAACATAAGGCCATAGAGCATGAGACTGTGGACTGAATTCACCTGGATCTGTATAGGAAGCCGTAATGAGCTCTCCTGGTCAGGATAATGAACCTTCAGCTTCCATGGTAGGTGTCCAATTCCTCAACCAGCGAAGTTGTCGGCTACTCCTTTGTGTTAGTGCATACAGTGTTCATGATAATCACTTTTGCACTGAATATGTTCTCATACTAACTTCATTTGTGTTTTGTTATAACTATTTACACATTTCTTTTCAGGGTTTACGCGACTGTTGCCGTTCAATCCGTATTGGCAAAATCCTTGTTGAATCTGATGCAGACACTCATGAAGCTAGGGTGGTGTATGCTCGTTTTCCAGAGGATATTTCTAGGAGAAAAGTGTTACTTATGTACCCAATAATGAGTGAGTACAGTCATTTTTAAAGTAAGAAAAGGTTCAGTCATACCTGCAGTGTGGTTCCTTCATAGTTGAATTGTGTTCAAAACACACCAGTGGGAGCTGTCTTGTTTGGCTTATTTTATTCTTAGTGTGGGATGAGTCCCTTGGTACTTAGGTTTAAATGGCCCATTGTACCAGCCCCAGATGTTAGATGGATGAAATGAAAACTGGCAGGAGAAGCCAATGTGCTCAGAGAAAGCTTTCCCTATTGCCACTTGGTCCAATACTGATTGCAGATGAACTGACCTGGGATAAAAAAGCCGGTTGCCATGGTAAGAAGCTAGCAGCTGACTGCCTAAGTTTTGGTATAGCTTTTCTTTCTTCTTAAGTAGTTTCCATATTATTTGGATCATCTGTTGTATGAAAAATGTTTTCCATCTAGAATTGCTCCTTTGATAAGAAACATAGACTGTAAAAGATTTTAAGCTTTCCCAATGGCTGAATGCAAGAAAGTCTTCTTGGGCATTCAGCCATGTTTGTATGGAATGAAGTTATATTTTTGAGAAAACATCAGTCTTTCATGATGGAGGCAAAGATCGTCTCAGAAAGGTGGACTTTTTTTTCATGTTGATATGACTGATGCCTAAGATTTTATTGAACAGAGAATGTATTGCAGACTATTGAGATGTTTAAAATTGTATGGAACGAAATTCACATTTTTGGGATACATATGCCTGAGTGAAGTGCCAACTTTAGTGGATAGAGGGTGTTGCATGGTCAACACAACACATCCCCATGGCCATTAATTTCGATTTTCTAGACTGGAGCTGCTATTTCTTTGAAATAGCTCCTCAATTATCCTTAAGAGGCTGAGTGGACCCTGTTCCAGACCCACTACTTCTCAGACAATCTGGTAGTGCCGGGAATCGAATCCGGACCTCTGGATCTGTAATCAGGAACTCTGACCACTAGACCACAGAGGCGGTCACTTCACAGACAATCGGCAATCGGTATAGTTCGCTTGCGGTCTAAAACCACGGAGTTTGTTGTATATGCCCGAGTCATGTTATAGAGCAGAATTTGGTGTAATGGTAATTGATCTTGAAATCTTACCATTTTCATTTGAATTTTAAATTTATCTTATTTTCTATTGTTGGCCAAAGTGTTGAACATGCACAGATCTAACATTTCCAGTAATGCCACATAATGTATACCACCAGTGAATAACAGAATAAAGCTAATATCGGTTGGCATTATATATCAATATATCCTTTGCTGTTACATGTTGTACTTTTTGTGTTACCTAATTTTCACTGTCCAATATGACAATTTTTATACATAAAACAGACATGTAAGACATACAGAAATCATTTAACAACTGTGAGGGTTACATTCCTGAAATACATTGTGGTTAGGGAGCCCAAGGGAAATGGGGGTTAGGGGTACTGTTAACAGTGGCCAGAGCCTATCAAAGTTGCTTGTTCCTTCTCTACACACAAAATAATATATCATAACATTTTTACAATTATGTATTCATGGTTATTACATACTTTTACACATTAAATCATTGACAGTTGAAGTCTAAAATGATTATGATTACTCTCGTCTTGTACCACCAATTTTTTCTGTCTAACCAAATTGTAAACCACTGATACATAAAACTAAGTACCATGGTTGGCAAAACTGTACACAAATGGAAAACTGTAGTTTGTGAGACACTGCTTTATATATTAAATCCCACCTGTTATTAGCATTACTATAGTCACCAAACTCCCCAATATTGTGGAGTACAAAGCTATATGTATATTTCATTGTTTCATCTTCAGGTACAGGAAATACAGTAATCAAGGCTGTCGCTGTGTTGAAGGAGCATAATGTAGCTGAAGAAAACATTATTCTCTCAAACCTATTCTGCACACCATTTGCAGCTAAGTCAGTTATGGCAGCCTACCCACAGGTGTATAGTCATTGCATTATATGAACAGATCGACATTATTCCAGAGTAATTCTTTACATTTTGCATGTTACGCTACATTTACTAACTGGATCAAATTTTTTTTAGAACATTTTCATTATTATGTTTAGTACAACTCAGTGATAGGGGGCATGCGACAGCATCATTTACTGAGGCACTATGCTACAAGCTGAAAGGTCGCAGGTTCAATTCCTGGTGAGGTCATTGGATTTTTCAGTTGACCTAATCCTTCCAGCCGCACTATGGCCCTGGGGTCAACTCAGCCAGTAACATAAATGAGTACCAGGAATCTTCCTGGGGGTAAAAGGTGGTCAGTGCATAAAGCTGACATCTTCACCACCATCTGTCTAGAAAATGTGGGAGCCCCAATGTCCCACAACCCTGTGGACTTCCATGGCCTGTTACAGGGGTAGCTTTACATTCACCTTTACAATGCTGTGATAAACGTATTGAAAATTGTGGCCAAAAACGACACTGAGTTTATGTTTAGGAGATATTGCAAGAGGTGAGAAATCCCAAGTCTCCAGCATATTGTGATAGTAAAGTTTATTAACTTGAAGATATGATTTTTTCCATTTTCAGATGCAGATTCTTACATCAGAAGTTCATCATGTGGCGCCCAATCATTTTGGGCAGAAATATTTTGGCACAGATTAAAATGGACTGAGGTTTCATGTACTGATGACGTGTTTCTTAAATTTTAGAAACTAGGCCATAATATATTTGCAAACTTCAGAAGTTTATGAGTAAGATATCAGTTAATTAGTTTTGACAAAATTTTTTTTGCACTTATTAGAAGGAGTTTATTTTCTATAATAAGATATGAAAACATGTTTCTTATAGTTTTGGATAACAGAATGTACACCACTTAGAATTCAGAAGATACTTGTAATAATTCTAAACGTACTGTTCATTTCAGTAATGAAGTTCAAGAAAGACATTGCAGAATGTTCAGAGGAAGCTTCTTCATTCTTATGAGTCACACATTGAAAATAATATCCAGAAGATATTACAGTCATAAGTGAATATCATTTGGGTACCAACACGGCATTACATATGATAGGAAGTGTAATACATTTCTCTTAGTTCTTTTCCACTTCATTTATTTTATACTGAATGGAATATGTAGAAGTGATGCCAGTGAATAACTTGTGTCATGACTAAATTCTAATTTTATTTAACATATAAATGAAATATGTTAAAGGCTTCAATTAAAAATTAATGTTATTGTAAAATCTTATATTCTCCATGTTTATGTATATGGTTACAGAGTTTCAAAGCAGTTAATATGGCACAAGAATATTAAATCGAGATTATGTTCTTAAATATTCAAGATGGAATAAATTATACATATAACTGTGGAAGTCAGATGAGCATAAATAACTGAAAAAATTGTTGTTACTTTCTGTTATCATTTTGTACATAATCTGAGTGAAGATTCAGGCACTTGTCGTGTCATGTGATGAGTTTCTGTATGTATCAAATACATGTCCTAGCTCTTCATAGAACCTGTTCTTTATGTCATCAATTTTATCTTCTGTTGGGGCGTGAACATTCATAACAATGATATCACACCAGCAATCTTTTAGTATTATATAGTATTATAGTGTATATCCTATCACTAATGCTTAACTGCTGATACGATTCTGTTATGTACGAAAAAACCTGTACCTAATTCATGATTTTCATTCCCCTTTCCATAGAAAAATGTATATTCACCTGCTGGTGCTGTGCCACCTCCATCCCATCTGACCTTCTGTACTCCAGCTAAATCTAACTTTTATTTTAAGATTTCTTCTGCCACTGCCCTGAGCAAACCTGCCCTATACATACGTCTAACATTCCATGTACCGAATCTCATGTCCATTTTCTTCAGCTTAGGTCGTTTATCCAGAGGATCTGTCCAGGTCAAAGGCTTTGTGTGCATTTTTGTAACAAAGTTATTTTTACGGTGAGGAGTTATAGCCCCACGCCTAACCCCCAAGCTGGAGGACCACCCCTTGTCGGCTGTCTGCGACTGCTTATTCAGTATATTCGCAGCTTCCCTCCATACCTGGAGGGAGTCTCCTTCATCTGCAACCTGAGGATGTGCCATGCCATGGTGACAACTGACCCACCTAACATGAACAAATTACATTTAACTTAATTTATGTCATTAAGTCTAGAGAATACAATTTATGCTGAGCAGGATGTGTAGAGGTAATGCTGTATATTTGTGTTTGTGATGTAGTGGATTTGAATTTCACCTGGGACATCAGCTGTCCTGAGGTTTTTCATGGTTTTCCTTGGTTCTTCTGGGTATATGTCAGGATAGTACCTCAATCAGGCCATGACTGCTTCCTTCCAAATCATTACTAATTCATCATATTAACATTCAATGCTGCATAGTTTAGATGCTGACATCATTGTAAAATAAACCACACACACACCCAAAATGACACAGTTTATTCTGTGTAAGATGCTTTACACCATTTCATATCTGTGAATGGTTTAATTAAGATCTCATAAAATATCTGAAATGCTTACAGCTGTATTTACGGATGTAAAAGGCAGTTATGGTCTGAAATTTTCAGACATGAAACCCAAGCATGTTGAATTTGCAAATTAATTTTTCTGTAAGGGGACAGAATTTATCTTTGAGAAAATGGCAATTTCTGTTACAAGTAAGAGTTAAGAAGGCAAAGATACCTGCAGGATACATTATAAAATGTATAAATATGTGTAGATAAGCATGTAATGTCCTTCCTTAAATCATAAGCTCTGTATGACTGAAATATCATAAACAGACTTGCTTCACATATATAATCACCCACCTGAAGTACAGTGCTGACTTGTCAAAATTATCATCATTTTGACTCCTTCTGGGCCTTAAGTGTAAATTAAAAGTCATGCAAATATCATGTGTTAACACATGCTACAAATCACAGCTGTTCTGATTTTGGCAGGACAGTACTGATTTTTAGAGCTGTGTTCCTTGTCCCACCTGGATGTATGGTGGGACACATTTGTATTATGTTTTGGAACTTTTCGAATACATTAACCAACAAAGGCAAGTTTTTTCTCTGCTTGTTGCTCTGTTTTAGTATACTCGTATATTTGATGTTACCATCCCAAGAAATAATATAACCAGAATGAATTGTTGTGGCTTTGTTGCTGTCAGCTGGAGGTCAGAGGGTAAGATGATTATCCTCTCCCTCTGCCTTTGTCTGGTAACACTCGATGTATATGACAGTTATCAAAAACACCAGTTTCATGGTTTAAAAAACTTCCTCCTCCATATTATTTTCAGTCTTAATGCTTTCATGTTTATCATGTTTGTCACTTTCTGTTCCCACAAATAGTTTTACATACATTTCCCCACTTTATTGTTAATTTAAAAGTTTTTACCTCTTGTTGCCATCAAAATGAGTAAGTACGCGTATACTTTGACCAGCACCTTGTTCTGCTTTTTTTGTTTCAAAGATCTGAGACTGCTAACACATTCCTTAAAAGTTCTCAAAGTAAAAAAAAAGTACAGCTATTCCTGTAACAGGCAGTGGAGGTCCACAGAATTGTGAGATGTAGAGGTTCCCATATTTTCTAGACAGCTTGCAGATGGTGGTGAGGTCAGCCTTATGAGCTACGCACCCTTAACTACCGTGAAGAATTGTGGTACTTATTTCTGTTAGAGGTTGAGTTGACCCCAGGGCCACAGTGCAACTGGAAAGAATAGGTCAATTGAAATATCCAGTGACCTCATCAATTAGAGGTTAGGGGCAGGGGCCTTTTCTTTTACCTGAGGTAGTAAGCATCTTTCATGGAGACTTCTATTCAAAATAAATAATCTGACTATATCCTTCTTCATTCAGGTGTGTTTGCATGTTTCATGCTCACATATAAAAAGCTGTTTGTGCTAGTATTCTCCATGAGACTCGTCAAAAATCATTCTCCATGAATTCCCAGACTTTACAAACAACTTGCATAAATAAAGGGCTAATGTTGAAAACATTTTCAAATGAACGAAGGAGGTAAAAATTGACCGTTGCTTAACTAATTAAATACTACACCATGAAGGTGTATGGGAGAGTGGATGTATAGATCTACATATTCTGACGACACGACTAGTTAAGAGGTGAGTGGTCAGTTTCACGCTTCAGCCGCTTAACCCCCAGGGAAAGAATCCCTGGTACCCATTGGGTAGTAGCTAGGTGGGCCCCAGAGGATTGAAGCATCAATTTCAAACCAGAAAGTGGGCAGTAATTAATGAGAGCTCCAAGAATGAAGAGTTATACCAGAGGCTTAGAAGCATGCTGAAACATTAAAAACGTGAATTTTGAATTACGGTGAAGTGCCATAAATGAATTTTTCATTGATTTTTAAATTTCACTGTCTTATTCAAGGCCTACCCAACAGGCTTCTCCACTGTTGTGCCTCATGAGGCACTCTTGCGTTCAAAACAAATCCACTAGCCATTGTGTTCCACATACTCACTGTTCCATGAAATACTTGTATTATTTTGGACGAGTACCACTTCAGCAGAGTAATGAAAGTCACTCTTGGGGTTAGATGCATGACCAAATGGGGATAGCACTACGACCACCTCTTTCATCGCTACTGTGCTGAACAGTAAGGTAAAAATATAGTTATCCCTGTAACAGGCCTTAGAGGCCCATAGGGTTGTGAGATGTCGAGGCTCCCGCGTTTTCTAGACAGTCTGCTCACAGATAGCGGTGAGGTTGTCAGCCTTACGTGCTGGCCAGCCTGTACCCCCAGAAAATAGCTGGTACTCATTTCTGTTAGACGCTGAGTCAACTCCAGGGCCATAGTGCCACTGGAAGGATTAGGTCAATTGAAAAATCCAGTTACCTCATTGGAAATCTAACCTGCAACCTTCAGCTTATAACATAGTGCCTCAACCAACTATGCTGAACAGTACAGTCATCAATCCTGGAATCTTCCAGTAGATATATCACTTGAATTATAAGTTAGACTGTAGAACCATGTTTCACATCATGTTACAATTTAAAGTATTCATTTCCTTACACCAGCTATGATGTGGACCTGTCATCTGACATTACTGATGAATGAATGAATGAGAAAATTATAATTCCAAAATATTGTTCTATATAGGAGATAGCCCATTTCCTGAGCTTGTTGAACAGTCAAAATTTTCCATGCCAAGTGGTCAGAGGGAGGAGAGGGAGCCATCGGCAGGGTCAGAAGCAAAATGGCGACGTCATTTGAGAAAGTGGAGGCCTGTGCTCTGATACAGTTCCTGCATTTGCAAGGGAAGTCTGCCAGGAAGATCCCATGACCAGATGACTGCTGTGTATCAGGAAGGTGTACCATCATATGACACAGTGGTCAGGAGGAAGAGGCGCTTTCGTTGTGGACAGACAAACCTCGAAGATGAACCATGAAGTGGAAGACCATCTTTCACTGAGGAAGCAGGAATTGTGACACAGGTGGAAAGCTTTGATCCTATTCGACAGGCGCATAACTATCAAAGCTATTGTTCGTGAGGTCTGCATTAGCCATGAGTTGGTTTTCAGCATCATCCATGACGAGTTACACATGACAAAGGTCGCTGCGCGTTTGATGCCACGATTATTGAAAGCAATGGATAAATGTGAGAAAGAAATGTTTGCACTCGTGTCAAGATGAAATGGTGGAATTTTTCGACCACCTGATCATGAAGGATGAATGTTGGGCNCATCATCCATGACGAGTTACACATGACAAAGGTCGCTGCGCGTTGGATGCCACGATTGTTGACAGCAATGGAAGAATGTGACAAAGAAATGTTTGCACTCGTGTCAAGACGAAATGGAATTTTTCGACCGCCTGATCATGAAGGATGAATGTTAGGTCTATCATTATGACCCTGAAACAAAGAAAATGAGCAAGCAGTGGAAACACGCAGACTCGCCGCCACCAAAAAGGCAAAATCTCCCATACATCATCAGGAAAGATGATGTTGAGCATATTCTGGGATTGGCAGAGTGTCATCATGACCAGCTATGCGCAAAAAGGCGTCACCATCACTGGCAGGTACTACCGGAACCTTCTGAGAAAATTACATGAAGAAATCAAGAAAAAGCGACATGGAATGCTGGGAAAAGATGTGTGACTTCTTCACAACGCACCAGCTCATGCTATGATGACACTTACTGCCAGTTTGAGATATGAAATTCTCCCCCATCCACCATATTCACCAGACCTGGCACCAAGCAACTTTTTCCTCTTTCCACAGCTAAAGAAGCCACTTTGTGGTAAGCGATTCCAAGACGGTGATGTCATTTCTGCAGTGGAAGACTTCCTAAACAGTCAAAATGAGACCTTCTGTGATCAAGGTATCCAGCAGCTAATGCATCGTTGGGGAAAATGTGTGGTCTTGCAGGGGGCATATGTAGAGAAAGACTAACTCACAATTTCTTGCATCTGTGTCTCTGTTTCTTCTTGATGATAATTACAATGACTTCCCCACATATATGTTCATCTTTTTAGCAGTATTCTCGTGGGAAAACCATCTTCTTTCTTCAGAGTTAGCAGTGGTAGTCAGAAGCAGAAAATGTATATAAGATACTCAGATTTGTGCGTAATTGTGTTTCCCTTTATTGGGCACTAAAACACAATGCTAAGTAGGTAAGCCAGCTTCACTGGCTGCAATGTACACACTGCACTTACTTTCAAGACTGGTTCACTGGTTTGCTCAATATAACACAATAGAAATGTAACTAAAGGAAAGTATGACTGTGGGCATGATAGCTTTGAGAGGTAAGATGGCCAGTGAACATAGGAGCAAAAGGGGGGAAAGAATGTTCAATGTCAGGCAGTTTCTTCCTGTTTACTCTATATCCAGTTGTGAATGGAATATTAAATTTTCTTGATGCAGTAATCAAAGACTGATATTTCATAATAGATGAAAGAAATATCATATTTCTTACTGAAGGGTAAGTTCAATAACATCATCAAAGGTGTAAGAGGCATTTAATTTTTGTGGTATATAAAATAAAAACTTTGTTATAATCTTAGATACAAGCATTTAACAAAGCTTCCCAATATCTATATGGAACTCTTGTCTCCCCCCCCTCCCGACTCTTAAAAGCCATTTTCTTTATATCTACCGGAGGCCTTTGAGTACACTGGTTATGGGAGTCTTGCATATTTCTAGGCACAGTGAGACTGTCAGGATACTGTTACCACTTACACAGATTGTATGCAACAGGATATATTTTTGCAGATCACATATAGCAATCAAAGCTTTACTGCCTACTACTTTCTTGCCAGTAACATCCCACATTTAATATTTGATTTGAGCACTATCAAAAAGTTCTGTATAATCTCACCATATAATTTTGGCATATAAATTTAACATTTATTTACAAGGACATACATTGTCATTGGTAAACTGTGCTTTATTCACAGGACATTTAACAGTGTGTGTGATGTAATTTCTTTTACCTTCAACAGTGATCTAAATTTGGCAAGAAAGGAAAGAACAGTGACTCAAGAATACAGATCATTTTTTCAAGATGTGAAGCATAAAGGATTAAGGAAAGAGAGATTTTCTGTCCAATGTTTATATATCAAAAATTGTATGGGCTCTTCCTCATGGTAAGTGCCGTCTTTATTCTCGGTTATTAGTATACATTTTTAGATTTTGTCTAAAAACATCTTTGAGGGCACATCATACCTTGCATAGGTAATGAAGTCCTATATGCTTGACAAGACCTCTGGTACGGTAACTTTGATTAGTAATGTATGTTGAAGATATAATCTAGTAGCAAATTTCTAATGATGACATTATGACCTGTATGAAGACAGACCCTCAAAGATGTCATGTATCTGCAGTATACAACGTGAAGTTTTGATGTATACTCTTAATTATAAATTTATCAAGGTTCATTGTACTTTCTGCCAAAAAGATACACTTTCTGGCCTTTTTCAGTTAACTGGTATTGACTTGAGCATGTACACAAAGTACATTTCTTGTAGAAATAAATCATACATCTGTGTCATGGATGAATTCATCCAAATACATTAATGCAGTAGCATTATATCTTAAGTTGTATATCAAAAAGCAAGATTACCCAAAATTAACCTCTGCTGGCTATGTGTTGCATTATTATAACAGCAGATGCATGTGGTCCAATTGGCTAAGTGTTGATCTTTTTCAATACTAATTCCTATTACTTCCGAGTTAAAATCTGGCTACCAGCTCTCACACTTACAGGTGATGTACGAGGGGGGACCCAAAAATAACCGGAAACGACCTGTTGCGCACGCATGCTTTGTAGTTATGAGTTGTGCTGCTAGGTGGTGTTAGCTGGGGGTCTCCCGCGACTGTTAGTGAGCTGGCGTCAGTCTGAGTTAAGTGGTTTGTCTATGGTGCTCTGTTGTGTGCGTTCCTGTTTCAACCCTTTGGCGATTAGTCAGATGGCCGACCAGAAGGAACAAATCAAACAAAATCAAACGTGCAATTGATGAAGATCATCGAAAGACCATTGACCAACTTTCTGAGGAAACGAACATCTCATGGAGCACGGTCCAGCGAATTTTAACCGAAGGTTTGCACATGAGACGATGTCTGCAAAATTTGTTCCTCGCTTGCTCGGAGATGACCAAAGAGAAAACCGCGTGAATGTTTGCCGCGACTTGAAGAGTGAAGTGCAGTTTTCCCTAACAGAAAGCAAAATTTCACGCACACTCTTTGTTCCTTCTGGTCGGCCATCTCACTAATCGCCAAAGGGTTGAAACAGGAACGCACACAACAGAGCACCACAGACAAACCACTTAACTCAGACTGACGCCAGCTCACTAACAGTCGCGGGAGACCCCCAGCTAACACCACCTAGCAGCACAACTCATAACTACAAAGCATGTGAGCTCAACAGGTTTCCGGTTATTTTTGGGTCCCCCTTCGTATAATCTATTCCCAGATGATATAAACTACAGGATCTTCACTATAATATTGGTCCATAATATAATGTAACTCTGACTCTATATACACATTCAAATCATTTGATTATATGATGTAAGCATGTTTTTACCTGACCATTAAATTCATGTACATTCAAATAAAAATAAACTCCATGGCCTGTAGTCTGCAAGTGAACTATACCAAGCGATTGCTGCTTGTTGGCAAAGTTAATGCCAACTTGTGTGGATAGAGGGTGTCACGTGGTCAGTGCAACGGATCCCTATGGCCGTTAATCTGTACCTTTGAATACAAATCTCAAATTGGAATTATCTTACAGTGTGACACTTTAAAAATAAAATGAGTTCATTTTCATTTATGAGCTTTCTCTTCTATCATAAATATGCAGTCATAATAAATAAATCTATATAAATTGATGCAAAACTCACCAGTCAATGATATTTAAACAAACAATTTATAATCTGTACATTCTGAAAATTCATTTCAGAGAAAAAATGACCAACCCCATAAAGGGGAGCAATGAAATAATGTGTAATTTGTTTGTATACATTATTTTATGACAATTTTATAATAAAATTAATATAAACTATGAACTACTTCTATAATTTGTCCACACTATTTTATTTTCATAAATGACGGATAAGTGTTCCATCTAGCATGAATAACATGATATTTGCTGATTCCTTTTTAATAATACACGATATAAACTACAATACAATGTAAATTACTGTACAATATTATAGAAACATAAGCTACTTCTTCAAGGTGTGTAGAACATGAATTGTTTTCCAGATTTATTTATATATATATGTGTGTGTAATCCATTCAAACCAATTACAATTAGTGAGAAGGAATTTGAGCAATCTGTTAGGCAAACTCGTGTAGTACAAGACACAGTTTCCATAAATCCTGCTGCACAAACATTGCTGATGACACCCATTGGCAAGCAGTTAATCAGCACAGCTATAAGAAGAAACACTGAACAGTAGAATAATTCAGTTTAAAATGTAATTTGAACATTAGCTAGAGTGATATTTTAATTTTACAGCATCCATACATAAGAAATTTCATGTATACAGAAAGAATACAAGTTCATTATTACTTACTCATGTCATTGGC